CCAGGAGTGGGACTGCCCCACGCCTCCCTCCCCGCCTGTCGTGGCAGCCACCGTGGGAAGCGCCGACAGACAGCCAACAGCAGGTAGGGGACCTCAGACTCTGAGCAGCTAGCCACTAGGCCAACACCGCCTCCAGGCAGCCACCGTGGGAAGCGCCGACAGGCTGCTGACAGCAAGAAGCGCTGGAGGTCCTTGGGGTAGGAGGCGAAGTCGGGGATCTCAGCGGCAGCGGTGGCCCCCCAAGCCTGGCAGCCCCCTGCCTCAGCACGATCCCCACTGGGCAGGGTCCCCAGCCGCCACTGCTGCTGGGTCCAGGACGCCGAACGCCAGTCTGGCCCAGACGGGCAGAGAGGTTAGCAGGCAGGGTGGGCTCGGGGCTGGCTGGCGTGGGGCCCGGCAGGGTGCCCCGGGGGCCTGCAAAGGCCTTGCCCAGCCGCGACTCGGCCGGCCCCCCCGTGGACACCCTTACACCTTGAGGCCCAGGAGCGTGAGTAGTGCTGACAGGCAGAGAAGGCACTTGGGGCAGTGCATGACCCGGCCAGGCAAGGAGTAGCCGCAGAGCTGAGGGAGCCACAGGGAACCAGAGGCCTTGGGGTGCAGGGAGGGGCTCTAGAAGGGCCCCCAGGCCCAGGCAGGCAGCTCCAGACCTTCCACTGGTGGCTGCACTCACGGACCCAGCTGCTCTGTTCCTACCCCTAGGGATCCCCCAGGCCCTCACCTGCCACTCTGTCCAGCTCCTTCCGTCTTCCTAGAAACCCAGTAGGTCTGCCAGTTCCCAGTCCCCACTTCAGGGGTCTGGGACCTGCCAGTCCCATCTCCTCCCCCTTCCTCCATTCATCCCTCTCACCAGGAATGGGATCACTTGATCCGTAGCTCTCTGGGGTGAGCTCCTTCTCCCGTCTTGGATACCCAGCCTGCCTCCCCCAAGTCCTACCCCAGGGACTGGGGAACCGGGGAATCCACCCCTCTTTACCTCTGGGTCGGGCTCCCGCCAGCTCCGGCGCCGCCCGCCGGGCCCTGGTCAGGCCCTTCCTGGCTCCCTCTGGCTCCCTCGCTGCCCTCTGCCCCAGCCCAGCGTCTCCAGGCTGCCGGCCCTGCCCAGCCCAGCCCGGCCCAGCCAGCCCAGAGGGGCGGGAGGAGGGGAGCGCGCGGGAGGCGGGAGGCGGGAGGGCCCCAGGGGCCGGGAGAGGCCAGGGCGGGGCTGAAGGAGGAGGGGAGGAGGGCAGGAGGCCGACCTGGGAGATGGGGCGCTGGCGTGTTAGGGCTGGTTTTTTGGTGAAGCAGCTGGGGAAGGTGCAGGGGGCGGCCACAGGAACCGACCAGAGAGACCCTGCAAGGCCGAGTGGGGAGACCAAGGGCGGGGGCGGCAGGACCTGCCTGAGCCCTGGCTGGGTAGTACCAGTGACCCACAGGAGGCAGAGGCCTGCAAAGGCAAAGACCGGGAGGCTGGGGGCTGGTGCTGGGTGGTGATTGTGCTGAGTGGGGCCGACTGCAGGCCAGAGCTGGGGCTGTTTGCTGTTGCCCAGAGTCAGGGTGGGGAAAGACTACTGGAGTATTGTGGAGAGGGAGACCTCAGGCAGGCAAAGAAAAGAGACCAGAGACGGGTGGGTGGGGGCATGAGATGGGGTAAGCTGGGAGGAGAGAGGGGGACAGGGATGAGGAAAGGACTGGAGGGAGAGGAAGGGGGGAATGGAGACAGCAGCGGCTGTCAGGAGCTGGGGCTCCTAGGGAAGAGAGTTTTAAAAAGGCAGGTGGAGGGCAAAGAGGAGGCAGGGGTGGGGTAGGGCTGGGGCACAGCTAGCCTCAGGGGGTGCAGAAAGAGCAAGAGGAAGGAGAGTTTGGGAAGCTGAGGGAGAAGGGCTGGGTGGAGGGGAGCCAGGTGGGGGAGTGGGGGCCAAAGGGGGGGTGCACTAGGTGCTCTAGTGCTAGGCTGACCGCTGCACCTCCTCCATCCCTTGGGTGCCTGGGCTGCCTGCCCACTGGGAGGGAATTCGCTCTTACCCGCCCCCACTCCAGCCCTGAGGCCAACCTTGTGGGGGGTTGGGGAGGGGCAAGGCTCCCAAAGCTGCACAGTGACTCCAGGAACACTCACATCCGGCCCCCCAGGGACAGGAGAGGTGTCTGGCGGTGTTTACATCCCCGCCCTCCAGAGGCTTCTGCTGTTGGGGCTGCATCAGCTGTCTCCGGAGGCCGATGGGTGGGGCCACCTCACCCCAGACCTTGCAGGACCTGGGGTGGACCAGGGCCCTCCCACGCCCCTGGGCTGACCCCCTTCAGCCTACCCCGGACTGGGTAGCCAATCTTTGGGCAGCAGCAGTCTGTCCAGCCTGATCTCCTGCAAGGTTGAATAATGGAGCCTGTGGGAATAGCTGCAGGAAGTAGTGAAGGCTGATGGAAAAAAAGCCTGAGTGGGACCTGGCAGCCAGCGAGGACCTCTGGGGGAGTCTCCAAGCCCACCTCTCCTACGGACTGCAAGAGGGCATCAAGGCCCCCAGCTCTCCGGCCTCTTCCAGCTCCTGTTGGGCAGAGGCTCAGTTCAGGGGCAGCACCGCCCCTCGGTGGGTGCTGGGTTGTGGCAGTCTGAGTTCAGTCGGGAGAGAAGCCTCACTGTTGGAACAGGGAACATTCCATCTAAAGAATGGTTAACCCTAGGGTGGGCGTGGTGAGCGGCTGGCTGTGACGGGTGCCATCGTGGAACAGGGTTGAGCGGGTGGATGTGCAAGCTGAATGTGCTTGTTCCAGGCCAGCGTGTCTGCCCGAGCCTACGGGTCCCCCGTGTCACGCCAGACCAGTTCTGGTTTTTCCACCTTATGAACTGCCAGCCACTGCCGAGTCCACGGTCCAGTAGCCCACCAAGGGAGCTGCCAGGACCCCTTCAGCTGCCCTATCGGAGTGTGGCTGCTCTAGTCTGATAATCCTCATGGGTCTGACACCCTCAGAGGCCACCCCCCTACCGGTGCTTTCCTGGTTCTGACTACACGTCTGCAAAGTCATTACTATTGTCTTGTATTCTTTTTTAAAGTTTATTTTTGAGACAAGGGGAGGGGAGAGGTGTTTTTTGCAGGTCTCACGTGTTCTCTACAGCAGGCTGCCTGTTAGCTGGGCCACGGGCGTGCGCCACTGTGTTTGGCATTTTCAGGTTACAGTGGGAACCTCAGCAAGCCTCCCCTGTGGCTCCAGCATCCTGCAGCTGTGCTCTGCCGCTCGCACCCCCATGGCTGGCTCCAGATCTCGTTCCTTTAGCATATAAGCTGCTCTCTCTTGGTCCTAACTGGTGTCTGTGGCCCTGGAACCCACTGAGATTTGATCCCAGGTATTATGGGCCTAGTGATAGCAGGGGGAGCTTGTGATGAGTCTTAGAACAGACACCCCCTTTCAAGACACCTGCCCCTGGTAAGGTCATCAAAGGCCTCCCGCACTAGCAAGGGAGGCTTGGCGTGACTTGGGGGTTCAAGGCCAGATGGCCCCATTCCAGAGAAGGTGCAATCTCTGAGGCTGTCACAAACTCGCTCTGGCTCTTAGACCCTGACCTGAGCTGAGCTAACATACCCGAGCTTGTTGCTGTCAGCCTCAGGGCACTCCCAAGAAGCCTTCCAACACCTTGTCTTGAGATTCACCCCTGCTTACACAGCTGTGGGCACAGCAGCCATGGGCTTCCTGGGCGGTGCCTCAGTGCTGCCTCCTTGACTAACCACGGCTCCCACCGGACTGTGATACTACTGTGTGCCAGGGACTTCCAGCATCCCCCTTCCCGTCAGGAGGGAGCTCAGCTCTGTGCTCAAGCCCATGGGCACAACCACATCAGTGTCGGATCCCACCTTACCAGTCTGTCTCCTGGATCCATCTGAGTCCAGCCAGCAGAGAAAAGCCACACAGGGAACGTTTACTATAAAGAATTGTTGACCTCAACAACGAGTCAGCATAACAGGGATTTATTGGTAAAATCCCTTGGAACTGACTAGAAATCCATCTGGAGTGCCTCAGTGGAGGCCTTGTGCCCCCTGAAATGGCCAGGAGTCAGGGTGCCGTGGGAAGCTGCTGGCCATTTGTCACTTCAGGAGCTGTGGGCCCTAGGAAGCCACTTGCTAGCATAGCAAGGCACGCCAGATCCGAGCCAGGGAGCCCCCGTGACAGACAAGGCCCATCGAGCCACTGGCAAAGGCAAACTGTTTCAAAGGCCCAGATGCATTTTCAGTGAACAGACAAAAAAGTTCAGTCTGAAGCCGGATGTCGATAAACTGGTAACCAGTGACACCATGGGACTCGGGTGCTACTGGCCTGTGAATGTGGGCCAAGGACACGCCCCAGTGAGCAGAGCAGTCCTGCACAGGGAACAGTTCTCAAGTGCCAGCAGCACCCCGTCTCCATCCAGTTCTTACAAGAAACCGTAGCACACTGGGAGGACAGCTGGAAAGGGGTCTGAGCCACCAGGGTGAGGGCAGCTCCCCGGGGCTACTTACGGACCAAGCCCTCCCTCCCCAGGCAGGGGAAGGAGAGGCAGGATGACAGGAGCTATGACTTTCAACCCAGGACGCCAGGGACGAACACCCCACGTTGCACTCCTGTCTCTGATCTGCTGGTGCTGCCAGCCCACCCCATGTTCCCACCTCCAGATGGTGAGCCAACTGGAAGGGAGGGATGTGGAGAGCTGGCCACAACCCCACCAGGATCCTAGCTGAGCGTGCAGGGCTGAAGGCTAGGCAGGGGTGGGGCTGGCTGTGTCCTGAGGCTGCTCCTCTGGGCCCAACTTCAGGCCCTGAACCCAGTCAGCCCCCAGAACCTTGCAGTTGGGCAGCATCTCTTCCACCAGGATCAGAGTGAGGCCTGGGTTGGACACGGCAGGAAGGTCTGAGATGTCCAGCCTGCGGAGGTTCCTGAAAGGGGCAGGAAGGCAAGAGGTTAGCGTAAGGACAGCGTGTGTGTGTGTGTGTGGGGGGGGGGGGGCGGGTGG